TGAAGAATCTCGAGAGCTATTTCATAACCACAGAAGCGGAAGTTGAATGAAAAATCGTCGACAGGGATTAAAAGAATGTTCCTTCGAAAAATCAAAACTTTTTAACGCTGGTTACGTGATAGTTCTCCTCTTGACGACCATCGCTGTGCAAAATAGAATCCTATGCCAAGAAAAGTACATGTCGTTGAACAATTCTTTTAATAGCAATGGTTCCGGTTTATGAAAATTTCTCGCTTAGGATGAGGATAAGCCAATTTCGATAACCGACATCCTTTCGGATTGCGGATGTAGACAGCTTAGTCGGTATCTCAGATGCTCCTGATGCTGTGCGCACGTATGAATTTCTGCAGAAGGTAACCGGATTAAAACAGCACAGTCCTTCGAAACATCTGACTAGGGATATTCGCTGTCCTCGAGTGCTTCTGTGGGTCACTTGAGCTAGTAGTAGCTGTTCGCTTTGTTTCCTGGTGCATTCACAAAACCTGTCTAAATCGTCGCAGGTGTGGCTTTTCAGTCTGGAGAGGCAGTGACTCTACATAAAGACACTCTCGCCTATCTTAACTCCAGACCAGGTCGTGACGTGTGATCCCAGGGATTCGTCTTAGAAAGCCAATTGCTGCCGTTAGTACACGGAATCGACGTTTATCAGTCATGACTCACGACGTTTGACCGTAGGCGAGCATCGGATGAAGATCGGCTTGAACACAGAGAGCTTAGTCTTCAGACTCAGATCTGCTTTAGCTTTTCATAACCGTTTGGGCTAGTTGATGCAGAATGTCGATGGCCATTCCAATTCGCCGGCAGTTCTCCTCATTTCACTTTCCATCACCAGTAAACGGGAACCTGAAGTACGTCAACGTTTCCACCTGCTTCACTGGGTTTCCGCTTCGCTGCAGAGGGCAACTGGCTAAGAACAAGAGAACTAGAAAACATTAGGATTTTGGTTTTAGACATGTTTCGCACATGCCGGCCACTTCGCACCCGGCTACAAACCTTTCCGCAGAGTGGTGAGCATCAGCTTCGAAAGATGCCAACAGAGCAAGCTCGTCTGCAAACAACGACCTTCTCGTCGCGACATCCCTTACGGTCATACTCTCATCGCCCTGGCTACGCCTGACAATTCTGTCAATGTGCAACACAAACGGGAGAGGGGACGGAGCACATCCTTGCTGGAGACCGGTGCCAGCTCTGAAAGCGAGGATTGGAACTCACAACTCTAGATTTTTAAGCCTCAGGTTCTAAAGCCTGAATTGCTTTGTCCTTGCTTAGGGCAAAATGCACGATGCATGTTTTCAGATTTCGATGAATAATGATGCCTAACTTTTCTGTATATCCTTTTGATTGTTTGCAGTTGAGAAGGGCTAATAACGTCAACCGAAACCGTGGTTCTGCACCAAAAGCGTTTGTACCACGTGCAATTTGGAATAAAATAGTGCCTTGCTCATGAATCTAGCAGCGGTGTCAAGTATCTATGCAAATATCGCCTAATCTTGCTTTCCAGATCTGTATTCGGAACGTCCTTCTCTAAACAGATTTACCATAAGAGCGTAAAAAAGATCTGTACCGATAGCCTTCGACTGTTTTGGAGCTCAACCCGGGTATTCACGTCTGCATTAGAAATGCTCATTTTGTCATATATCTCTCGATTTCCATGACAGAAATCAAAGGTTGAATTTTAGGTTAGCATTTTTGCTCATGTAATGCAAGTGCAAAAATACCATTGAGCCCTGGTGCTTGAACGGTTCCATAATCGATTAAAATCAAGATGATGCTGCGACTACGCCATGTAATTCGAGAGAAATGCAGAAAATGGGTTGACATTGTTGCGTTTATGTTGCTAGCGGCGTAAAAGAAACATATCATGACCTTAAAGTACTTCGAAATGACATAATCAGGCACTTATAATAATACGTTAAGAGAAAGCTGGTTAGTAGTCTGAATAACACTTATTAGATACTTGAAATCTGAGGAAGGTGCAACAGTTTTCCTTATACATCCAAATAAATAAAGCACAAAGAAGATCCGTTCGTTTCTGCTCCTTCGTTAGAGTAACTGTCTCCATACCATACAACAACAGCGGCCTTACAGAGGCAAAGTACAGGCTGAGTTTTGTAGAAGGGGCCCATTTTAGCCGAAATATTGGACAGATTTCCAAAAGTACTGGATACTAGGGTTATCGTCGTATTTAACTATGGCTGTGTTTTGTCATTCTTGGAGGTGATTGAACCAAGATACTTCAATTGGTCAACTCTGAAGCGCTTCATCTCCCTGTTCCACCTGCGGATCAGTTGTGCCAAATGAGTTCCGTGAATCTTCTGACTTTCGAGCGTTAAATAGGAGACCGGTTTTGGCAGCTGCGTTGCACGGAGAGGTCGTTAGGTGACAGAGCCCGCTCCACGTGCCACTCATCAAGACAATATCATGTGCGTACTCCAGGTCAGCAAGATATCTAATGAAATATTTTAACTGTCTTTCCTCTAGAATGAGCTAGTAATAAACTAGTGAAATAAAGCGAGTTTCAGTCTGACTGTCAGTCAGTAACAAACTTGACGTGAAACAGCGATGGCAGAGTGGCGGAATGAGATTTGGCATCAGCCCTGACACGTCCAGCCGTCGATGACCGTACCTGAAGGCACTTTCCGTTGTCGAGTTCTTGCTTATCTGGACAGATCGGCCGTTTAACGCGTTTTTGTTTCGTCTGCATCAAGAAAACTGATGCTTGTCGAAATTGACAATATCTGTCGCAGCAGCGAAGAGTCTGTCATAATGTTTTTGCAGCGCAAATAATACCTGTTTTAAGATGTTTTAAAAATCACGTTTCTATACATGATTTTGATTTTACAGTTAGTTACGAATATTTCTTTTTCCAGACACCACCCTGAAAGCTGTAAAACTGGTTGAAAACTTTAGAGTTGCCAGTAAGATTTAATCAAGTATTTTTGTCGTTTCGCCATCGTTTTTAACACATGTTTTCAGTCTGATTTGATCAGTTGCTCTAGTGATAATTCAGCAGTTATGTTAGAAAACTTGTAAGCATTCACCATATCTCGATGAACTTCATCTCTTTCTCATATCTGACCTTCAGTCTTCTGACACTCGTCGAAAATTCCTTTCATGTCACAGCTCAGGAAATGATGTAGCTCCTGTTTTTGGTAGGCTGCGTAGAAATCTGAAAGTTTCCACGTGTAATTACTCTTTCTTATGCCTGAAGAAATGACTCATAATGAGTATAATCGCCTTCACGAAAACCAACATCGGTTTTTAAATGGCGATGAAGTGGCAGTGGTTCAGTTAACAGAATATATGTCTGAACGATACATAGTAGAACATATTATTTCTAACGCATAAGGTAGAAGGAGAGCTTTTCATAAATACCGCATCGAATAATGAGGTCATGCTGATTAGCGGTTGATAAATAGCTATTCGATATAGATAACACTGTCTAAGAGAAAAGCTCCTGACTACAAACTCAAACGGAATAATAGCGACACCGCTGCCACTGTCAGTCCCTAGACGACACGTTAAAATTGTGTCATTAAGTAGTCCAACAAATGGATAGAGTGCATTGACCATCCAAATTAATTTAAAAAATTTCAGTAATCATTGGATTGTTCATGTACAAAATTTGGCAGAAATGCGTTTTATTTATGCCATTAAGATGGCAAAAGATCAGAGAAGATGGCGCATACTTGTTTAATCACACCGTCAGTCTCTTTAGACAGAAAACGAACTCAGTTGTTGCTATTTCCTTCAGAGAATTTAAGAAATCCAGCGTAAACCTATCTAAATCCACGCGAGTACAATATGCAAGTACTTGCTCGGATTCAGCTCGCAGATTTTGTCTAGCAGTGCTGCCACTTATGATCCTATGTTTGTTGTCCCCACGAGTGCGATGTTCGTGCAGTTCAAATTAGTTTCGCTTTATGTTAGAGAGCAATCATATATCGTTATCAAAGTTTACCTTGACGTATTATCATTTAAGTACTGTGGTTCGTTAAACGTCTATCGCACTGTAGATCATGGCACAGAATGTCATACATTAACATAATAGGAAGTATTGTTCTCATGAATCAAGCAGTAGCTGTTTTCTGAAGTACAGTGATCGATCCCTTTGTGACGGATATGTTGTTATATTTTGTTTCCGTTTCTGTTTCGTTTCCAAACCGACAATTTATATTCAGTGGTCTTACACTCCGTTTGCATGTGACAACTGCAATAATTTAGCGAAAAGGCTCAAACAGTCGATCGCGTGACTCTGGTAACAGCGTTGTCTATAAATCAGTTTTTCTTCGAAATCACTAACGACACTTTTTGACGTGGTGTGCGGTTTGGAATGCGAGATTCGAAAAGCTGTCATACAAAAGTGATTTTTCGTTGGCTGGTGAGTGCGGGCGTTTCGTTCGCAATATAGGTCACTTTCGAAGTTGACATTTCATTGACTTGATGACGCTGATGATTCTACTTTCGTTGATAGAGCTAACATAAAAAGCGGAAAGAGCATATTAGTGCATATGTACAGTACGTCGCATTCTTTGTAGTCGAGTACTATGACTAAAATTGCTAAACAAATAGTCCTGCAGGGACGATAAATGAACCGCATGTGGCAAACCTTCTATAAACTCTAGCCAGTGATTTGTCACAGTCAAATGCAACGTCTCCGTAGCCGGTAAGAAGATTTTCTGAGTCACTGTAAATAATTCTCAATTCCAACAGATAGAAATCGAACCACTGAAAAGCGAGTTAACTTATGCACACTGTGTCAAGGTAACAGACTCTGGCTTTTACGAAGTTATTTCAGATGTGCCGCTTTGAATTCTTTTATGCCTTTTACAGCTACTCTGTTTTTGCGGTCATCTGGAAAGGATCCAGTGTCACTTCAGAACACTGATACCTTTTTATGTCCGTGTTCAGTGACTGAATTCAAAAATTGCTTGATAAGCAAAATGTAGTAAGGAGCGCTCGTTGCAAATGGTACTAATGAACCAGTTTGCTCGATCAATCACATCACTGCACGTACCTGTCTTGCATTATTATTTGTTTCACAAAAGCTTAGTTTGTATCCTTTAAACCCCAGCGAGCACGCTGAGATCTCTGAATAAATTTTCATACCTGAAAACCTGTATATGACCCATTTTTGGTTGACGCCTCATTCATCTTTTCATAGTATTTATATTTGAAGTTGCGAAATCCAAGTTGCATGTCACAAGGGAATGAAAACTGTTTAGCAGTGTTAACGAGAATGCGCATGAATAATAAACAAGTAAAAGTCGAAAAGGAGGTCCATCAAACAGTTTTTTACGGTTTGGTCCGTCGGACTTCGCGCGGTCAATTTAGAGGGTGTTGTCAAGGCACGGTTTTGGACGGATCGAACAAGAAAGATGAACACAACATGCATAAATCAAAGTAGATAGGGTATTTCGATCGTGCATTGATGATCATATTGAAAAACTATACGAAAACGGCTTACTCATACACAACGCAAACATTGTCGCCATTTGGTAATTTGCCAGTACCAACGTTTCGGCCCTTCTGCAAGATGAACGGGGTTGATCTTCGAAATTCGTTCTTTGATCCGCAGATGTTGTAGCGCGTGGAGCCAAAACCTGAGTTTAGGTTCGTGCTGCTGGTTAGGTAGTTTCTCTGCAACAAGCGCGGCAATACTTATCTAATTCGTACAAAGTTTGTATCCTTCATCCTGGTTGACATTGTCGTAAGACGATATTAATTAATGCCTTTTTGATGCTAGTGTAGTCAGACCGTTCGTGAGCGTGACGTTTCTCTGCTGAGTGTTGCACAATCCCGGAGGTCCTTTTGCGCTTTATTACCGCATGTCATTTGTTTTCGCCCGCGATAATCCATCTTCTCCAGCTTGACTGGCTGTCTTTTGTTTGAGTGACAGTGTTCCTTGTTTATCTTAGTTAATATTTCCCGTAGTTTCACATTAATATGTAGAGCCAGCCTAAACAGTTGTTATTTTCAGAATTGGTTAAAAATGCACTAAGTTTAGTAGAGCATTTATAATATACATATATTATGGCAATATTATATTTAACGTTAAGCAATCTTGGTAACTTTCACTGAAATTTATAATCAGGCAGAGTTAGGCGAGGTTTATTATTGTAAATGTTATTTTGGCATTATTAGAGTTGCAAGTAGTAGTTCAAAGTAACTTATTCTGCGTTTTATGATACTATTAAGGAACATAACAGGATCATCATTTTTATCAAATGAAGTTGCTTTAATGTTTTATTTCTTCTAACGAAGCTCATTACTACAGAATTTAAGAGCTCTGCATATTAAAGGTATGATTACCGATCTTTTGCTATTTAGATAATTATGCGAGTGAAATTTAAATATTTGTCAATGTAAACATTTCTTAAGTAAACTTAAGTTTTATGACGATTTCCAGAGTTAATTAGATATCCGGAAAAGGTAGACTATAGATATTTTTTCTTTCATTGGTTACCTCTTTACGGAAAAGGGTACTGAGAAGGTTCAGCACTTTACCTTTTTTCCACTTGGACAGATGGTAAACATATCGTCAATACGTCATTAAAAAAACAAGTCGGGGTTGGTCTTCCAGGCTATAGTTTCGAAACGTTCCATAGCAATTTCGGCAAAAATGAAGGGGGTGGTAAGGCGAGTGGGTCCCCATTGATGTACCGTTAGTTTGTTTGATTAACCTGCAATCGAATAAGACTTGCCATGCGAAAAGTTACTAATTTTATGATAAAATTAACTGAGAGGTTAGTACATTTCTTAAGTGAGTCATCAGTTACAAGTTTAGTGATTATTTTAATGGTATGATCAACAGAAGTGTTAGTGAATAGGTCTTTAACGTCGTAACTGACGATAATGGTATCTTCATAGGGCTTAATCTGTTTCAGTTCCTTGGAAAACTCGTGGGAGTTTTTTGTATAAGATGGGTTTTTCAGTTAAGAGTCTGCTTATTTCAGGAGTAATTTTCGGAACCTCCGCGAAAAGTAATTCATATCGAAGGGGAAACATTCAGCTTTTATATTTTAGATAGTTAGTAAAAATACGGTGCCACGTAGTTACAGTTGCATTTGAAAGGTGTTTCTACGAAGCTGAATAACTTTTGATCTAGAAAATCATGTTGGGCAACACAATAAGGAGCGCTCGATAGATGACGAAGGCGGTATGATTAATATCTAAGAAAAAACAAGAAGTATTGAGCAGGTCGACTTTCAGGTATAATTTAACTTATCCATAACTGCGATAGATTGCCCCTTCTTTCTTTCGTAATTCATTATATTGTAATTGTTAAAGATTTAATGCCTTTAAATTCTGCTATGATAAAGTTAAGTCTAAGCGGCTTAATTGCAGTTATCAGAGGATTTAATGCCTTTACTAGGGTTTCTATCAAGTTGTTGCTATGTTTATGGGTAGTTGAATTTCAATGCTGGACATAGTTTATAGTAGGGGAAAATTTATTGGTAACATTGAAGTATAAACCTTCATTTAGAACGGTTATTCGGTCTTTAAATAGTTGGACTTTACTTAGGTTTAATACTACTTTATTGTTACTGTTAGCGAGGAGACTGTTAGGCGGTTTCTAATGAAACGTTTAGTTTTTTTAAGAAAAAGATTATATAGTTTCCATATGGGTACCGCACCGTTTTGTATAGAGAAATTATAGCCCTGTCGGCGGAAATCGTGTACAGCGTTGTCCTAACTCTCTGTGGAAATTGTCTTCCTCCTCATTTCTTTGATGCGGCGGACTTCTTGGAGAACAAGCTGCAACTGTATCCTTGCTTCTCTGATGTGTAGAATACGCAGTTTTCCATACACTTGAGATCATGGAAAGAAAGCTGCAGAAATTACGTTAGATGATATGCATGATTTATCGCCGTTTCAAGGGGTAAATATGAATAACGGTCATCTAGTTTTTCTGCGTGATCTTAGATCTGCGGTACTGATTCAGTAGAAGATAATGAAATGGTTTAATCTAACGTATCAAGTCGCGGAAACGCACAATCGGTCAACTTCAGA